GGATTCCCACCTGCTGCTCTCCCTGCTGGCAGCGCCTGTTACGCTGGGCTCTCAGCGACAAGCCCTGGAGACCGAACTCAAGTGGCCTCACAGACTCCGGAATTGACCAGGTCAAGTCCAGCCGTCTGTATCTTTGGGTAAAGCGAGGTCCGGAAGCTCAAACGCAGGCATCGGGAACCTTCGTTTTTATCATCGGCGCTTTCCCTCGCTCCTGGACGGCGTCCAGCGCGTGGACCTCTCCCGAGCCGCCCCGCCCCCCACGCCGTCGTCTTTGTTTCTGGGGGGGCCCGCAGAAGGCCTTGGCCGACCCCATCCCCTCCCTCGCTTCTTTCAACCTCTGCTTTACATTTTTCATCTCTTTTTATTCCCGCGATTACCTTTTGGGTACGTTTCTTGGCCCTGTCACCTCAAACACGGCGAACCTGCTGTTCGGACTGCCCGTCGGGTAATTAATTTCCACTCACGTATTTGTCGCTACTCAGCCAGTCTCCTCTGCTGTTGGAACAGGCTCCTGAGACTGTATCTCTGTCTCTCGCCACCTCTTAACTCTGCTCGCCCCCGTGCTGGCCTCGCGTTCCAGCAGACTGCCCCCGAGTGGCTGCAAGGTGGCCATGGCCACTCCAGGCTTGCATCCCAACTCGCCTGCCCCCGGAGAGACAAGCTTCTCTGTGGGTCCAGCAAAAGCCTAGGCATCATGTCCCATTGGTCACATGTCCTTCTGGAGCCAGGCGCCGTGAACAGGGTGGTGGAGTTGGGGGACACCCCGCCCCTCTGGAACTGGAGGGGCGGGGTGTCCCCCACCCACGCACAGACTCCGAATGGGAGGGACGGGGTTCCCCAGAGGAAAGTGGGTGTCCTGGGCCCTGGCGGTGGCGGGGGGGTGGAGGAAACGGGACAGGCCAAGTACACGTCCGTCTCAGACCGTCACCCTACGTATTCACAGTCCCACGACTCTCGGTCGGAGAAACTGAGGCCCAGGATTGGTTTAAGAAAAATGTTCCAGGAAAGTACTGGATCCAAACTCTCACTCCAAATCCTCTGCCCTTTGCCTTCGGGTCCAGAAGCTGGGGGAAGAGGGGACACTGACTTCATCACCGATAACAGACGCCTGGGGCTCCGTCCGCGCTCCCCAACACTGCCCACGCCCCTCCCAACTCTGCTCCTTGCTTCGCCTCCGTCGCGTCCAGCAGCCTGCCCCACGGGACTGTCCTGGCGCTGAGTCGTGGCCACTGCCCACCCTCCCGCTCCGGGCCTCGTCGTTTTCCCGCCTCCCCATTTGCAAAGAGGTCTCTGTGCACTGAAAGGTGAACGTCAGCCACGCTCCAGCCTGCGCAGAGTTAACAGGCCGGCCCACCTGCAGCCAGCGTCCAGCCAGGATCCAGCCAGGATCCAGGCAGCTGTGGACAACTGCGTGCTGTTTATTCATCAAAATTGTTTCCTTCCGTCTCTGGCCTGGGCAGTGACCTCGGAGTCAAAGGCAGCCAGGAGACGGACTGGCCATGACGATTGGGACTGGAGACAGCCTGCCCAGGCCCGAGCCCCAGCCCCACCGCTTAGCCATGCGACCTTGGGGAAGCCGCTTACCCTCGCCAGCATCCGGGTCACTCACCTGCAGAATGGGACATCGGTACCGATAGTATCTACCTTGTCCCTTGTGAATATCACATGAGCTGACACGTGAAGAACACTTAGAATAGTGGCTGGTCCCCAGGAAGCGCTTAGCTGTGGGGCGATCGCACGGCAGAGATGGCCACGTCTCGATTTCTGCAACATGTGAAGAGATCACCCTCTGCGGCAAAGAGACCGCAGGCACGATGGAGGATCCCGAGATGGAGAGAGTCCCCTGGGTGACCGACGACATCGCACACTGAACTCGGTGTTGTCGGAAGGGTCTACAGCAGTGTCAGAGCCAGCGGGAGGGGATGGGAGGTGACAGCCTGGCTGCCGCTCAGTGACGTCTTCGGTCGTGAAGCCAGCGGAACCCGATCTCGGGGGTTTGTGGGTTTTTCCCTGCTGAGGATCACGCGTGCCGTCACTGCTTGTCGAGATCTGTTCTTGTTTAAATTAAGGCGACTCTCTGATCGCGACGGCAAACCCGGATGTTTTCCCCCCGGATTCACCAGCCATCACATCCGGATCCTGAGGCCGGCCCCCCGTTTCCTCGGGTTCTGTCCTGGGGGGGGGGTCCTGAGAGTAGAGCCCCCGCCCCACGGCCTGCTCCCTGCCTCTCTCCCTGCAGG